TCTGGCCAACAGTTTTTTTCGCAATATTTTATATAGTAACAAAAACTCTTCAATTTCTCCGGTTTGCTTGTATCCCTTGTATCGTAACCTTTTATTTAAGCGATATGTTCATAAATCCATTTCATATAAGCAAGCAGTGGTCATCGCAAACTTTTTAAGCAAAATGGTTGTGTGTTTGAAACATTGCTCGATATTATCATCAATCTGTTTTGTACATAAGTCATGTATCTTTGGCTTAACCTAGTCTCATGCTTTATATCCTAAAGAGAACAACAACAACAACAACAACAACAACAATATTGTTCCTTTAACAATACTTTAATCACGATTTCAACAAATAGATAAACAAATAAGTGCGTGCGTTCCTCACGGGAAAGTTTCTGTTTTTAAATTAGTATTTGAAGATGAGTTTTAATTAAGAATGAATAACTTTTCCGAGAAAATTCAATGGAAATAATGTTTAATAAGAAACTTGGAGAGAAAGCAAAATATCTTATTAACGAACTAATAACTTAAATAATTCAATAATAGAAACAAGTTTGTTCGTCTTGGGTTAGTTGTAATATAAAAATGAAGTGAAGCAAAATGGAAACTGTTATGTTTCATATAAAACAGTTAATCTTTAAGCATCATTCCATAATCTCTTACTTACTTCTTCCTATTCATATATATTTAATTAGAACACAACGGACCGTCAAAACTAATTATTAGTTATGATGCGTGCAAAAGAGATAACAAATTTTCGATTAAATTTTAAAGACAATCTATCAAATATCAAAATAACGATTAAAAAAACTATTATTGCACATAATCAAATTACCTTAAGGGTTTTAAAGGACACACACACACACACACACACACATATGAGTCAAATTAAATATTACCTCAAGGGACATTCTCTCTCTCTGCCATCGCTTACCCATGATTGGTTCCACATTCGAAACTTTTTCCAAATATTTTATAACCGCCAGTTAATTATAACAGTTAGCGTGAACTTAGGTAATAGTAAGATGCTTGTAAAAATATAGAATATCTGCGGAAGGCACAGTCAGCCGGAGGAGAACATTTGAGTCAAAAAACAATATTAAAGTTGAGGAGAAGTCGAGCAAATCGCCAAAGGAAATTACTTCTAAATACAGAATCTTCAAGCGAAAACATGCAAGTGTATTTCTCTTAAAAAACATTACCCACCCGAGTAAGGCACATTTCGTAAAAATATGTTTGTTGAAATTAGTTTTTTGCTTTCCTCGTTCGTTGATTGAAAATGATGCTCGATACTATGCTGTGAGCTAATGGGAAATCAAAGCGCATTCCTGTGCTGGAAACTCTAAGCTCGAATGATAATAAGCTGCCTCTTCTTGATGAAATGCTCAAAGCAGAAGTAATTATGGCATTGCTTACATATGTATTTGTGGCATTAATTAAATTGCGGAATAAATTTTCTTATGGCTTTTGAGTTCATACGTGACTTGAAGAGTATAATAACAGCAAGTAAATGAAGTAAGCGAATGAAACTGAAAAAGAACGTTTCGTTGGTAGTGACGAGAAGAAATGCGGACTCAGCATGCCATCTGTCGCGTTTCCTTCTATTGTGATACTTGGATTCGTGGCTGGAAATCCATGCATGGGTCAAGAAAATATATAGAAATTCCTTCGCAAGAGGGAAGACGTGAAAACGCTTAAATCCGCTCGACAGTGTGTTGACAATAATGAAACAGCTTCTTATTGTTGTTTAAAAATTTTCATTACCCTACATCCAAGTAATATCATTTTTGCAGCTATTTTTATATTATATTATCCGAGTTCTGACAATTAATCAAAAATTTTAAGTTAGTTCCTCCGGATCGGAAGAGCGTATCATTGTATTATATTTGTAAATTTTTTGAAAAGAAAGCAAATGAGTGAACGAATAAAGATTGAATTTACATTCAGAAATATTGTGGAGTTCACGTGTAGTGTGTGTTAGAAATTCGCCCCATGCCTGATATATAATATATCGCTTGTTTTCTGGTAAGTTTCCACTCATTTCATTTATAACATTGTGTTAAATGCATTAAATCGTTTCTGAGGGTCAACGTTTTATTATTTTTTTGCGGTAAAAGTATAAATAAAAAACTCACCTTATTTTATGGATGCTTATGTACATAATAATAATTGCAACTTGTATTGTGTGTGTTTTATAAATTTTTATTCAATTCCCCCGCGCAAGTTTGTTAATGAATATGAATGAATGTTATGTTATGTTAACTTTGCTGTTGGAATTGTTGTTGGAATTGAAGACTCTTTCACACAGAAGCTTACTAATTGAGTTGATACATGTATGTAGAGGTGTAATGCAAGCGATGCATATAAATAAATATCTTTTCATGATCTAAAGGATTTCGGTTATCTACGGCAGCGTTGAAAGGCAGCAATGCTTCTGCTGCCCAATGCTTACGGAAAAAGACTCTTCAATACTAGCAAATCAAGTGTATCACTGGGGTGGCTTATGCGGACTACTGATTCATTTTGCTCTTACGCTATAACTCATTATTAGTGGTGCAGATCGAATAGTTTGACATCCTTCATCTGCCTCTTGTTCGGTTTTCCCCATCGCTGTTGTCCTATAAAAGATTGAAAATAAAGGAAAAATATAAATTTGCGTACTCCACAACATTGGGTGGGCGTGAATGATTTTTTTTATTTTTGATAAGTGGGCTGACTAAGAGACGGAGACGCAGCAAGACGGACACGGTTAGGTGCATTCGGAATTTGCTCGCAATTGGCCATTAATGTATATGCTTTATGGGGATTTGAAACTTGTTTCACCGCCTTACAAAGGTATTGAGAAAAAATGAAACTTTGATGCTTTATAACATCTTGGGTCTTTGGCTTAGTCAAATTTTTGTCATTTTTGTAAGGGTACTGAACTGAAACATCATCCATAGAATGAATCCATAGTTCACGGTTTTGTGGATTTGATCGCAGTGCGATTGTACGAAACAAATTTTTTATTGCTTTCGAAAAACACAAATGTTCTCGGTTTACGTGGCACGGTAGACATGTCCTTCAAACCGGCGTGCAACCATTTTCCAATGTTTCTGCCAAATTTCAAGTTGATAGCTGAATTTTCGCGGCCAAGAGAATATTTACAGCAGGCCTTATATAGGAGGACATACGGACAAGCTTATATCACTTCAAAATATGAGGCTGACCAAGAACATATAAAGTTTATGGGCTAGCTGAAGCTTCATTTTGGACGTTGCAAACTTTTTAACAAAATGAATCTGCCCCGTCATCGTTCGGTGAATGGGCATAAAAATACACTTAGCACAATGTATGCAAGTACATTAAACATGCTACTCTTTAATAAAATATATATTCATGATGTACGAGCAGATATGAGAACATATTATAATAAGGCAGATGGCACTAAATGCCTGATTTTTTCAATTATTTATTAATTAGATATTGATGGACCGATTTGCACAACTTTTCAACTTTATCTGAGAAGAGATAAGGGGCGAATTTATCACCAAGTTTATTGTCCGAAGTGGACTGCCGGCAATCATGACCTTATCAACTAGTCACGGTGTTAAACAAAATAATAAAAGGCATAGGCCTTCAATTTGCCATAGAAGCGACGCATTAAACGATATCAACGTAGTTTTCTTCTATTAGTTTAGAGGTTTAGAGGCGAATGTGATTTTGAACGAATAGTACTTTGATGTCTTGATGAATGAATGTCTTTGGAGTTTTTGGGCACGATCAACTTTCCTCATACATAAGTCTTCCCTTGTTACAATATTCGCACGAATAATCTTCGAAAATAACGTCATTGAATGCTTTGCGGGGCATGGGAGCACATCAATGGTTCATAATAATTTGCAAGAAGAAAGCCCAATGGCGTTATCCCGCACGACCTTTGCGATAAGCCATAAGCATTTTTAAAGATTATGCGACCGTTGAACTGTTCTCCCAATAAATCGACTTTGTCATCGAAATGTATGGCGGCATGTTGCACCATTCTCATCAAGACACATATCATTCAAGTCGAAATCATTTAAATTTTTGGTATAAAAAATCAATCACTTGTTGTGTGTTTCGTTTAACTTTCTCCATAGCGGTTTTTATCCGCACTTTATGTTGACTATCCCCTGCATAGATAGATGTACTTATCCGAGATGATATCATTAGTCACAAATATATTTGACAAATTTTGTGCATCTGCAGTAATGCGTATAAAAGTTCATGTACTGTTTATTATATTTAGTAGAAAGAGCGCGATTTAATAAAGATTTTTGAATAATCGCCTCCTGCACACTAAATAACATGTTAAGTAATTTATTCCCTGTATATTTTCTGCTGCTATTTACCTGAGTTTACTTTAAAAACTCGCGTGTAAAACTCTCTGCATATATTTTAAACATAAATATATACATATATACACATACATATATATATATATATATATATATATATTTATTTATATACATATATTTATTTATATATATATATATGTGTTTTTTCGCTTCGTAAGACTTATAAAAAAAACAAAGGTAAAGCTTGCTACGAATAATTGATACCCTCCTATTAAATGTTTTTCTTATTGTTGCATTAACTTAACCTCTTGTTATTAATTGTTGTTAATAGAGAATTAAATAGACCGGCATATGTAACATTCTTTTTCTTTACATTATTTGCAATTTGCTCTGAATGCATTCAGTTTAATGTTATTCGTAAGTTAAAAGCTTTCCTTTACTTAAATGCTTTTCACTTCGGTTTGCACTTTCGCTGGAAAGGGATTTAAACTCTTTTGAGTAATACTGGAACTGTTTTTGTTAGTGCTATGCCGCATTCAAAGATAATTTGTGTATGTACCGTGAATGAGAAAAGTAAATGTTTCGATAATTTTGTGCACTTCAAATGAAATGAATGTGAGTTAATGTGAGTTCTCTGCTGCTAGATGTAGCAGCCGTGTAAGCATTTACTCAGAAAACTTTGAAAAACTGGCTTCAAATGTTTGTGGTTAACAGTCTTAAGCTTAGTTTAGTTATCAACGAATCGTCGAGTGGACGATTTATCGGCTCTAAAGTAAAAGCTTTTCGTACTCTTCTAGTATCGGACAATAACCTCATCGTTTTTAACAAACTTCGTTATTGTAATAATACTTAATAATATATAAAAATTAAAGCTTAAATATGCATTTGCCACTAATTCGATATAAGTTTTTTTTTTTTTTTTTTTTTTTGTAAATATCACTTAATACGATATTGTAGTTTTACATAGAAATAATAAAAAAAAAAAAAAAAAACACGAATAAAAGTCTGAGCATATAATCATTTTTTTTTTCTACTTTCTAATTTATTAGTAATTACAAAAAAAAAAAAAAAAAAAGAGAAAAAATAAAAAATAAAATATCTATATATATATATATACTTATATATACACATATATAAGTATATTGTTTTGAAAAATAGTATCCGTGTATTGAGTAACAAAAAAAAAAAGTAAGAAACAAAAAAGCGGTTTTCGTGTAATTTATCAAAGGCTCAAAAAAAAAACAAATTATTTATAATTCATACGCAAAGCTACCTATAATGGATATAGCGTGGCGTTTTCGCATAATGCTGTTCACTGCCTTGGCTTTGATATTGTTTGGCGATCTATTCGGTTATGGTAGCGTACGCGGCGTTAAATCAGATCCCAGTCGACCGCCAACAGGGTCAAATAAATTTCAACAAAAAAATGCTGAAATTGAAATCAACGAAGGTAAGAAATTTTTTATGTATCTGTGTTAATGAAATTGCTTGCTACTATTTGAGGTCACAGAAAGCGGTCTTGAAAAGAACTTGAAAAATAAACAAAAAACATATACGCAAGAAGTTACGTTCGCCTTGGGGCCGAGTTTATTTTTTATTTGCGATGTATTCGATCGCTATGCATATATATATATATATATATATATAAATATTTGATATCGTATTTTTAGGCAATTTAACAACGCTACACACAACTAACTATACAAATTAAAGAGAATATTTATATATTTATTTACGTGCTCTGACTTTTGAAAAACGATTCTTCGATAATTGGGAATAAACCCAATTATGATAATTTGAGAAGTTCATGGGAGAGTTTTAACGAAGAAAAAGCAAAATTTTACATTAAGGAATGAAATTAAGAGAAACTAGAAATCAATTATCAATTTTTGGTTACATGAGGAAATTTAGTTTAACTTGGGCGAAACAAGTTTGGAACCAACCCGTTCCTTTTTCGTCAAACTTTGTGTTGTGTTAAAGATCTGTTAACACTATGCGATATTCAATCGTGCAAACATTGACACCACTGTTGTACAAAGAAATGATATCTCAGTGACATTCTTACTCATTTGAAGACTTCAGCGGTCACGCCTTCAGCCGTTTATGAATTGTTGCATTGTTTCGGATTATAATAAATTTTTTTTTTTTTTTTTTTTTAATTCAAGAGTTTTTAATATAATTGGTTTGAATTCTTTGGCTTCTTTCCAAAGTTAGCTCAGTTTCTGAACTATCGCGTACGCGTTGATAATGCTTTTGTAAATGCAGTAGTGGGAGCGTCAGCATCAGTTCCCATAGGCGGCAAGAGATGGTGATGGCTCTTAAAAGCGTACACCTTCTCAATCCTATAATCGATCTGAAACGTTTTTTGCTCAACATTGCGATCGGAATGAATATATGACTTATTCGTATTTACTCGTTCTCTCTTCGTACGATGGCAAACGAACATCAAACGGGCATAAATAGATACATTAGGTGCATGATATTTTTTTACTATACAAGTTTTTATACGTTTGTATGTATTCTACATCTAATGTATTCTCCGATTACTAATGAAAGTGATTTTGCATCGACGTGACAGGTAACATATTTATTGAAACTTTTTTTTTTATCGAATATGAGAAACGTTTAAAGGGAATATTTTCCATAACTTTATTCCCATTGAGTGAATTGCGCTTGCTGATCTTTGTTAGGATCATTTTCTTCTCTAACATTGATAGAAAAATAAAACAATTTTTTATTAAAATTTAGGCAAATGTTTTAAAACTAAAACTTTTTACAAAATAAAAAATTATGTTTCACACTAGAACGTGGTGTTGAAGTTGAAAGTTATTCTGAAAAGAAAACTGAGGCACATTACAGATGCGGCCAAGGAGATCTTATTAAAATCGTTTTTTTTTTTTTCTCTTTGCTTTTTTCGAGAGTTGCTGAACCGATTTTTAATTTTTGCTTATACAATTCAATTACCTTGATATATGTAAATGCATTGATTAGCCATTCACAAATGAATTCAATAAAATAATCAATTATTTCATGCTCCAAATGTAGCGGCGCTCCTGTGTAGTGAACGGTGTAGGGCAATGAAATTAAACTGAATAATATTTCTTTTGCTTTTTGTTAATAATTGTTTTGCACTCTTATAGATTTCGTTACAAAGCTCTACTCTTATTCACGTATCACCTTACACTTGCAATCGATCTAAAACTTTCAAATGAGCAAATAGAAAGCAAACGAAACTATGCGTGCTATGGCATTCGAGCAAAACAAAAATATTTGCTTTCGGATGATAATTTGAAGCTCGCATATCGTTTTGTTAATTGCGTGCACCTGGCATCGCGTTTGCACTGAATGTTTGTTTATATACCATTTGGTAAATATTTCCATAAATTTAGAATTTGCAAAATTTTTCCACTTTGATTTCATGCGCTTTCACGTTGAATTTATGCGATATATTTGCCAGGTTTCCATCTTGCTATGTGTAATGGTTTTCTGGTTGGCATTAGCAAGTTTACAGAGAGAGCGAGAGTGGGGTAGAGAGAGAGAGAGAGAGGCAAAGATCAGGACAGTCTAGCAAGCTAGATAGATCATCTGTAAACTTGAGATTATCCATTCGATACTTTCAAATTTTCATTCAAGCAGAGCTATTCCGAAATATACTTCTGCCGGGTCCGAAGTACTTTCAATAAAAAAAAAAAAAAAAAAAAAAAATTATGCAAAGTACTTTGCTAAGTAAAATGTCGACAGTTACTTTAAAACGCTTCATAAATGATGCGAATTTATGGATCCTACAGACCTATGCCTTGCTATGGTCCACTAATGGGTGTAAAAATAAAAGGTTCGCAAAAAGTGACATTGGCTTCATATGCTTTGCATTATGCAATTATCTCGGAGCAAGCGGTTATGATTCGCATGTTCCATCATCAAAACAATACGCATTTGTAACTCTATGATGCGGAGAGAGAGAGGCCTTGTGAAAACGTTTGAAAATTTTTTTGCAAATTGCTTATGCCAAGCATTCAGTCGTTCTTAGAATTAGAGATACTCTAGTTTTTTATATGCATATGCCGTGAAAAATGTGTATTGTATTTCAAGTGAACAGCACAGACCAGAACCTGTAGTTGGTTTCGTGGCTTCTCATTTTACAAGTTCATGCACGTTTCGTTTATGTGAACCGCTGCATTAACAACTGCAATCCAATAAAATGTAATAGTTGATTATTTTTTTAATTTAAAAAAAAAAAAAAAATTATAATACCAATAATGCTAATAACACGGGTTAATAACTTAAGAAAGCCAGTTTCAAATTTTCCCTGTAGCTCAGTCACCTTTAAACACTAATTAATTAATGCAAATGTACAACTGTTTGCTTGTTCGTTGACGCTTTCTCAAATTCTTTAAATTAATCTTAACACATACATACATTTATACATTTGATGTGTTTTTATTTCGTTAACCGAGGCTCGTTGCGAACAGGTTAGGAATTTTTTTGTAGAAGCGCCGGCCTATTTTCGCCACTTCTTTCGGACTTTCCTATCCTATCACATTTATCTTAGTTTCTTTTAACAAGTCTTGTAAGTTTTTCAATTTATTTTGCCATTCCATCATTTTACGTGTTCCGTCATTGCAACATTGCTTGCCTCGTTTACGTTTGTTCACGATGAGTAGAAGAATTTTTCTGTTTCTCTGATAAAACAAATAATTAAAAACCATTTATGTATAATAAAAAAAAATTGTAACGCTACAAACATGTTATAAAATTTCCATAACCATAATTAGTAGTAAAATGTATGAAGGATATGGCAATGCTCAGTAGTAGGGCACAACTGCGATCGCGTTGAGTTTTTTTGAGGTAAGATTTGCGCAGTAGTTAATGTCGCAACTTATTGAGCTTAGCTGGACAACTTTTGGTACATGTCCTGAATATTATTGGATATTGACTTCAACAAGCTAGCGGTACATAGCATACAACATAAACATAATTTGTAAAAAATGTGCTTTTCATTTGGTCATTCATTCGACCGTTTTAAAAGAAGAAGAAGATAAGCTTCATAGATTAACGTTGCCAATCGAGCAATATTTCCATCAAGTATATGCTACTGATACCAAGTGTTATATTAAAATCGAACAACCTTCACAAGAATGCAAAGCAAATGAGAAAAATTAACATAAATCTACTTTTAGAAAGTCTAAAATAACTTTCTTTAGTAATGAACCGGACGAAAATGAATGAGTAAATGCGAGATTAATGTTAAAATGTACAGTTCCGTCAAAACATGAAACCAAAGCGAACGGAATACATCCCACTTCCATTGTTATTTATAGATTTTGGTAAGATTTCGATTTTTATGCGGGCAGTTTGAAATAAGTTGTGCTCTCCAAAGGGCCGGCCCGAAAAAGTAAAGTTCCACTGAGGCATCTATGTCGCCAAACAATCGCAAATTGTTCTATTGTTGAGTTAGGTTTGCTTTTGTTCTGACGCGTGTACTTCCCTTTTCCAAGCCATCGTTACTTGCCGTTGCTACTACTTCTAGCGATGTGCTCTACAATCAGTTTCTCGCATCGTTTTATCGATTCCAGCTTCATTTTCATAATAATTTTCAACCATCAAAGCATTTTGATATTGAAAAAATGATCGAAAATATTGCATATAAGCCAAGCAATAAAATTTCAATCATTTATCTCTTGCAAGAAAATATTGCTGATTAAACAGAAAATGAAATGAAAAGAAAATCCCTAGGAAATGAGTTTTCGATTTTTGTGTAAATTACGTAATCTTCTGACATTTCAATTTCTTAAAGTAATCAGTTATAATCAAAAAAAAAAAAAAAAAATGTTAATTGCACCGTACAAATAGTTACCGCTTTTATGATCACCATCAAGCGGCGAAGGCATACGTATTGTGTTATTCCTTTTGTAGCACTCGATAATACGACAATGCGATGATAATCTGCAGATTGCATAAAGTGTCCTATCTCTTCATCGTAAATGTCTCATCTCGATGTAGATGTCCGCTTGTACTCTGCGGTAGAAACCCATATATAAAGCGATGTTGACTTTCTCCTCAGATATTCACGTATTAGAGTTGGTAGCTTTTTTATTTTTCTTTTTGTTTTTCCTTTTTTTTTTTTTTTTACCATGACCAATCGGTCAGGGGATGACCGCTATGCGTGCAACACGGTGATGGCCCGAATGGAGTAAGAAAGAAGATAGCGAGTGATCGCAGCCTACTGCATACGAGTCTAGTGCATATCAATGTTCTGTCTTTACCGACTCACTGGGTGGGTGAACTTGATCTGTACAGTTGCTAGAGAAACAAAAAAAAGGCGGAAATTTAAAACCATTCTTACCAAGCGCAATAAACCAAAAAAAATTCATGACTTTACGTACTCGTTAAGGTGTTGGGGCAATTCAGTTAAGTTACGTTAACTTATCATAGTAACTGAATAAATAAAGATTTGCATTAAAAGTCGTTTGATATAACCTTGATTTAACATTGAGTTAACATAATATGCTTAATGCTGGCAATTCCCGTTAATTCCCTCAATTATCTAATAGAATGCACTGCCGTTGCTTTCATATAAGTATTGAAATTAACTTTCGAGGTACGAATGCAACCCAGTAATCGATTGATATAATCTTTCCCAGATGTGGTATAAAAATCGTTTATTGTTAGTCATTATGACGCACACAGCATTTTGCCGATCATTCCCAACTTTCTTTGCTGTAAAAGGATAGACTTTCCTTATTTTATTTTTTTTTTTTATGCAAAAGCACGGCATAAATGATATAATCCTTCAAGGAAGATGGCTTTAGAATCGCGAATAATCGACGAAAATTGCGTCTGCGAGTTGCTGGTGAAACGAAACAAAATCGAGACTTAATTGAAAATATTGAAAACGGACGGTGAAAAATGCGAAAAATATCGTGGCCTAAGATGGGCCTAAGTTGCATGAATGGGAACTAAGCTCGTTTTAATGCTACGTAAGGTAATGAATTGTGCTTTATAAGTTAGATCCAGCTGGCTGGCCGTTCGCTACTGTCAACGGAGCAAACGAGCTAAGACGTTTAAAATTACGTAGTACGTTCACTTGTTGTCTTTTGCCTTCACAATGCCCGGTCGCATATGATTCTCAAAAAATTGTAGATGGAAATCGCTATAAAAAGTCCCGTCCGATTACCGCTTGGTTTCGTTCTCTGCAAAATACACTTAATGATATAATGTTGACTCAAAAAAAAAAAAAAGGGGCCTGTGAGAATTACTTGGTTTTGTTTTTCACAAAAATGGCAAACAGTGACGAATGATGCAAATGACTTGCATTTGATTTGTTTGAAATGTGAAAAGGAAGTGATGCCGTTTTGATGGAAACGTGACCTGAGAATTTCTCTAATAGATCGTAGAACTAGATTCTCTTTCTCTCATCTATTGCAGTTATGCCGAAAGCGAATTAAGCGGATAGCATAGGAACGCAACTTGCATAACTGGATAATGGAGTGTAAGGAGGAATAGGGTCCAAGAATGAAGCAAAGCTTTTAAAAATCTGCTCCCTCCTGGCTGCTTAGACTGGTTACCCATACCCGAGCTTATTCATCTAAAGCTGTGAGAAAAAGTCCAAAGGAATTGAATTATAGCCAGCTATTGGAGAGAAACTAATAAATGAAAATTTTTTATATTTTGCCTTTATTACTTGTCTACAACGCGTACATATATAATTGGATTTAATTTTGTTTGTTTTTTGAGTACTTGAGATTATAACTTAATTCATAAAATATATATTATGCATAGGTAGTATTTTTATTGTCAAGGCAAAAGCTAATCAGTCAGTCATTTTTTTACTTAATTACTTAATAAGATAATTGTCAAATGATTTGTATGAGGAAATAATTTATTACGACCTATTAGAATAGACTTGACTGTTGAAAGTTCAACAATAATAGCAAAAGTGCTGGCGTTCGATTCTAATTGTCTCCATGTCACGTGTTTACGTGACTTAGCGCAGCAGCAAAACGTTCGAGGTTCCTAGAAGTGTTGAGAAACCATTGCAGAATTAATTTATAAAAAAATTCACAAAAAAGAAATTATAGTTCGAGGCATGCGAAATATGTCCAATTTGTCGAACCGTTTGCAAAACCCCGAACCCCGAACCCCGAGCTCCAGCCATCTCGTAAAGTGTATGTACTCTTGATCGGCATCAAATTGTAAACCGATTCAAGTTTGTCGGTATGTAGTGTCTTTGTTAAACATTCTTTTCGTTGAACAAATCTGCTTAAAGTTTGGCAAAAAGATACTCAAAGTATGACAATTTGTCGAAATACACGCCCGCAATAAAGCGTAAACTGAACGCAATTCTCTCTTTTTTTAAGCGAAAATTTGTGGATTTTTACTCATTACTCACGAATTATTAAAGATGGAAGAGTGAAATTTTCTCCTACTTACTGTTAATGCAAAAAAAAAAAAAAAATGAAAAAAATTGGCCACGCCTATATAGACTTATAAATGGTGAAATGTTTACTTGTTTCCCTATTTTTACGTTTTCTGCTTATTACTCATAAGGTAAGCGAGACAGAATGTTTCCATGCATTCCTCTCCGTCTAATAATAATACATTAATACTAATTTAAATATCGTGGACTTCACGACGCAGTGTTTCTTTGTGTTGTTTTTTTTTTTGCAATTCCGCCAATATACATATCAAAGAAAAGGGACTTGAAGAGGAATAGAAGGTTGGATCCGAATATAATTTTCTTACCTGTTCACTTTAAACAAATGCGGATTATTCGTTACCTTTATGAAGCGCGGTGTGCAACACGATTAATACTTTGACTATTTTGAAGAGACATCCCTTCTAAGGTGAACTTCAATTGAGCGTGAATAGAACTTTTTGCAATTTTGAACTTTGCAGCTGAACGAGCGCTACTAACAATTTTCATCATTCAAGTCCAAGCAGATATATTAATACTTTTTTATGCTATTTGTGTCATGTTCAAAGGCCTCTGGTCTGGTATGCTTTTTTACTTCATTTTTTATTCGTTTTTTTTTTTTTTTTTTGTTTTGTTTGTCGGAATTCAACCATTCAGATAGTTTTACATCTTTGCTCTTTTAGTCTTGTACCTTGAGCTGTGTTTTAAAATAAAAGTAAATTATGTTTTTTTATAAATCTTTCAATAAATTTTAATTTATGCTCATTCTATATAAGTGTGAATGTCTTCAAGTGTGGGCTGCATGTACCTGTTTTTTTTTTAAAAAAACCGAGTATTTTCATAAATAAAATTATCGAATAGATATTGAAAAGTGCATAACAATTGATTTAAGAGCAAAACATATTATAAAAGGAAAATCGAAATGAATGAATGGATCGATGATAAAAGAAAAAAAAAAAAATCTTTTATGAATTTGCGATGTCTTAGGATTTATTGCGGGTTTCTCATCATTTTTAACAAATCCCTTGAATATCTGACAATTTCTTTAAGAGGAGGGGGTTTTGTTAAATAAAAACATTTTCTCGATTATATTGAACAAATAAAAAGTGATTTATTCATATGCATCGGTTTGTGTCTGAGCTGAAATCAGAATTACATTTCCTTATTTTTATTTCAATCACGTTTATGTTCGGAAATGATTTAAATCGGCGCACAGTTCGCTGCGAAGCTAGCAATATAAGGAAAAATGCAAAATTTCCCAATAAAAGAGATTTACGTAAGACGATGATGGCTTACGGCGGCTTGTTTGTATGTTACGTATTATCACTAATTTAGATACCTAGTGATATATGTGCATGTAAGTTACAGTGTTGTATGTTATCATTTTATTCGATAATGCTCTGAACTGACAAGCATTTGGCGTCAATAATGACAGATGAAAAAGATTCTTGGATCTTGGTATCGTCAAACATCAAACGACGAGACTTGTCAAAATTTCATGGCATTTCGATCATTGACTTATATGTTACGGTTGTTTTAGTGAAGCTACTTTTTCGATCGCTTTGAATGGCTTGCGCCGATTGCATCGAAATGATTTGTACTTCGACTAAACCACGCCAAACAATGCCCTGAGTCCAAAGTGAGCAAACACGGCACCACCCACTTTGAACAGAGCTTTCTCATGGACAAACGTTCACGCAAAACACACTAAATACATTATCTTGCTGCCAGCTAACTCAGGCAAGGTCGCTTTTCAGTCTTTCCGGATAATTTTGTGCACACCTTTTTTTGTTTTGTTTTCTGTCCACACGACTGTGTTTAGAATTAACAAATCACCGGCAACTTTATTTTTTCGATCCACAAGAGTCACTTATGTATCGTTCAATTCAAGCTAACACTGATTGTGAACCAAGTTTTTCTCATCTCATCAGAAAGAAAACAACGTTGGATCAACACAAGAAATTCAAATTTTTCGATTGTTTTGAAAATGACTTGAACAGTAGTCCCATCAAAACGAAGTAATTTTGACAGCATCGCATGAAATTTTTGCCACATATCGCTTGAAGGTTGGCACTGTCCAGAAATCATATGGATCTGCCAACGCTGATGTTATGCATGCATATGCCAAAGAGGGAGACATACTAAGTGTGCGCGTACGTAATTGCTTCTTCAATATTATCGTTTATGTCGTTCAAAAGTTATTTAAGATGCGTTTTCTTTTTCGATGTTTATTGCTTTGTAACCAATCGATTGCTTTTTTTTTTTTTTTTTTCTTTGTTATGTTTTGTTGTAGATACGGATTTAAGCGAATTGTCTGCGACAACATTACAAGAGAGACGCGATCTTATAAAAACACAATTAACGGATGCTATTAAGGATTCATGCTTGCCAAAAATGTTGTGTGAAATGGCCGCAAAACCGCCTTATCTGCTGACCGAAAAGGAAAAAGACTTAATTCATCTAATAAGGTAAATAAAATGCAATTAACTAACGGGTATCATCGCAAATATCATTTGAAAGCTGAAAGAAATCTTACAAAAGGTCAAAGGACAAAAAGGTCAAATGATTACTAACAAGCGTATTTGTTCACACGTCTATCTATCTATCTATCTATCTATCTATCTAGTAAGAATGCCGTTTAATACTTACATGACATGTTGTGTTCTTACAAACACTCGGATTTTCAACAATTAGCATGTGTGCGAGAAAAAAAAAAAGAACAGAGTAGAAGGTGAAAACTGAAGGCCAGTGCCTAAGCTGCTTGCTTGCGCCTGTATTGCATCGTTACAAAATTACTTATGAATTATTAGTCTACGTCAAATTCACGTCTTTCACGTCGAATTGAAGAAAAAAAAAAAAAAAAAAAAAATTCCAAGAAAATTAATTCAAGTTGATTAACATAAATACTTTACTTATCGGAGCAGCAGATTCCGTATACACTTCCTTTGGCTGGCTTTGCTTCCCTCAATATGAATAATCGTTTTTTCATCGAATATTATTGAGTTGTTGAAGTTAAAATTGATTTCATATCAAATAAAAAAGCTAAAGCTCTTCGCGCTTTAAAATGAATGATTAATGGAAGCAATGTTAGTCATCGTTTATTCAAATTCGTTACATTGGCGCGCGGGCGAGCAAATATTCTTGCTTTAAAATCGAATTTGAACGAATTAATTTTTATATGCACTAAAATAAATATGAATAATTCATTAGCCTCGCACTTAAGTGGCAGTTAGGAATTGCCGTTGCTAACTGGTTTCATTCTAGTTTCTTGAATTATTTCTAAAAATGGCATTACAACTATTTGCTCGTCAAACGACGTCAATTAAACAAGTACACTGACACAGAATCGAGCACGTGTCTTGAACGACAACACTTAACACTTAACAGCCAGCAACGAAAACATAATAAACAAAACGATAACAATAACTGAGGGTTACACTAATTAGTATTAAAAGAGAAAGTAAAAAATTGATGAAAGCTTCAGGTATATATCGACTCAAGCAATCACATTGTAATGAAACGAAATTGTTTCTCATGCTTGACTTGCCGAAAGATTATCGCGAATTCGCGGAAAAGAGGACTAATAGGAAAATGTTACAGTGAAACTAGATGTAGGTAACGTGTTAATAAAAGGGTATATAAGCAGAACATACGGGAAACGCAAAATTAATTGAGTCGAGAGAGTTGCATCATACGGGCATATTCATACGGGCAAGACGGTCAAGGGAGGCATTATAAATATAGGATCATGTAAATAATTTGTAAAAAGATCTTCTCTGGTATTAAAATAAAATAAAACCGATGCTCTTCTAAAAATCGTAATTCGGACCAAGAAACGTAAAATTACAAAATATGTTTCGCTTAGCAAAATAAAATATTCGATCGGTAATGAAAAGACAGGGAAGGATTCCACACACACAGGCTTAAAAAGTGTGGGAAATTGTAGGACTACGTCTGCTTTAGATCTGCTAAATTTGAGAGAAAATATACTTAAGTGTCCATCTTGTTGATATCCCTACAGTCTCTAGATGTGTGTGTGGGTGTGAGTGGACAACAGCTTGCTCTTGCTCTTCATGTGCCTATAGAAAAACACATCAAACGTCGATATGATGGCATCGAGTGGGTTTGTTTTGGGCATATTGTCGTCGTTTATGCACATGCAAGCCTTTCATTGCGCATGATCGAGGGTCTTCAGGCAAGATCTAGAACCACCTTCCCACAAATACGAACTCCATTTTTATTTCTAATCTCAGCGAGTTTTTGCAATCCTACGGCAAAGCAAACTGTATAATATTTTATACCATGGTTTTGTTTAATGATCGAATCAATTGCATTGTTTAACAATTCTCCGAGCGTACCGCGTCAGCATATTGCATTCTCTCTATAGTGCTTTTAGACAAGTTACGTCCCGTTGCTTGGATGATGATGTCCTTGAGTTGGAATTAGTTTGAATATGCTATGCCCCCCCTCTCTCTCTCTCTCTCTCTCTAGCAGAATATTCCTTGCGCTTAAAACAAACAAAGTACCGCTTTACCCCTTCACTGTTGGTACACAAGATGCCTACAAACGACAACAGTCACAATGTCACTCACTTTAACACTAGTTACTGCTTTGAAAAACGTTTAATATACTCACATTCTTATATAACTGTATAGAGTATCTGTGCGCCTACCGCGAAATCTAGCATTTTTTAAAAGGGTGTAATAACTTTTTCTTCAATTACGAGGCTCTGTTTACTATGCAGAAGCATTCACTTATAATAATTCGTTAACAGAGTGGAAATGCTTCCAAACTGAGACGACGGATGTTGAAGCAAATGTTGAGCTTTACCTTGCGCAAGCAATGTTATGTCACATGTGTGTATGTGTGTGTGCATGTGCGTTGGTATATAAATGGATTAAGATGGACAAGTTGCTGCTGAGATTTTCGAAGAATATCATGAATTTCTTTAAGTAAACAATCTTACTCCGTCTTTATCTCTATTCTATTTCTTTATCATAGAATAAAAGACTCTTGCACTATGCTTTTATAGAATATTTAAAAAAAAAAAAAAGAAAAGAAAACCTCTGCACCACATTCAGCTTTCGTTGGTTTTTTTTACTTAAATGATTCTTTAGGCAGTAAACAAATGATATCAAAAATGGATGTAGGCGTGGCAAAAGCTTAAAAATTTCAAAGATTCCAATTTTTCGACCACTATTGTACACAAGTGGTCGGCTATTATAGAAACTTTAAACGGGGTTTTCGCGAGCAAAGAGTTTTCATAAGGGGAAGCAGCATGACTCCAATAATATTCATTCGTTTCCTTTGAACTTTTCGAAGTAGGAGCGGTATTCTCGATACATTAATTGAAAGATTATTAATTTACCAAAAAAATTACTCAAGCGCGGGGTGAAAAAGTGACTCAAAAAAGACACGCAAATACTCGCCAATCAAGGAAAAATCTAACTTTTTAAGCATTAAGCATACATCGCGATAGCGGTTCGTATGATCAAATTTTTTTATATTTTTCATAAATTTTTCGTTTCTCGTAACCTCCACCTATTCCACCTTATTCTATTGCCTTGTCGTCTGTGCAACGGGAAGAAGAAATAATTTAGAAAAACATATGCTTTATTTAAGCTTTATTTGTAGTACATCCGTCCCCTAATCTTTAAGCGATTGTTCGTCGTATTCGTCGAGGCTTTTACAGATTTTACTGATTGATATTAGACTTAAACTCGAACTAAACGTGTACATGTCTTCTACTATTAGAAAATGATGAAATTATTTGCGAGATTGTTAACAAGTTTGCCAAGTACGGGTGATGTAAGTTGAACAAAATTACAAATTAACCCTTAACTTAAAACCTCATAGCATTGTTATTAGGTTGTGATTGTGGTTGTGGTATTTTAAAAAAATTCAATTAAGCACATATTAAAGATGATGATTGCCGTGTCATAGACTTGATAATATAATGTAATGATAGTGTAATGAATGAATTTTTAATTTTAGATCATCGTCGCTGTCCTTTCCAATGAAGGGTTCACCTAGCAAATGGCATTTCGCAGCTCATATGGGAGAATTATTACGTCATACGGGCGACGAAAGCAGCGGACCAATGGGTTGTGCGAATTTATGGCCAAATTGTCCTATTAGTTCTAAAAAATTAATGCGACTCTCCTATAAAGTTAAATTTTAGTAATGATAAGCTAAATATTTTTATCCTGTAAGTGTGATGATAAGTAATTTAAACGTGTGAAAACTTTACTTCATTGACTTTTGTAAATAATTTCAACTAATTAGACTAATTTTTAATCAAATAAACTTATTCTACTAGTATCTAAGCCGTGTATATCTAACAATTATTCAATTAGTAAAATTGTCTCAAAGTAGTTTTCCTTTAGAAACTTCGTTCCTTCTTCCTTCAAGAAATCCTTCTCAATATTTATATTAATGAATTGCATATTATTCACTATATATGCAATATTATAAATATATATACAATTTTGTTTGTGTATATGTTGTATGGAAAAAAATAGATATATATGATTCTATAATTAATTGTTGTTGTATCAGAAAGATTATTGAAATTTGTAGAGCAAAAATAAATCATAAGACATTAAAAGAACAAATAATTAAAATTTGTGGATTTTATTCTATGTGAGGAAGTTTGAGAATCACTGACTGAACGGTCCTTCCAATCTAAGCGTCATATACATTCGTGTGTTGATAAGCTCTAGGAGGAGATGCGAAACAAATGCAAAGACTGTTTGGTGCAAAATTTCGTTGACTGAAAAAGACTGCCTTTCGAAGTCCCCCTCTTAGTCCCAAAAAAAAAAAAAAAAAACAGAAGTACCTGATTCAAGTTCGGACTGAATTTTTAATCACATTTTTAGCAGAAAAGCAATCAACATAACAAGTTGGGCAGTATTTCAACTTACACAGGCTTTGCACAGGCTTCTTAAGGCTGCTTTTTATTTAAAAAAAAAAACACTTAACATTCTAAAGTCAGAGTTCGCTCAAACTTTTTCCGGGAAACTAAACTAAAAACACACAAACTATTATAACATGTAATAATATTACGGCTTGGGCAAGACCGACCGTTAAATGCTTTTGTACAACTTTGCCTCATCCAAAAGTGCACTTATTTCCGTAGTAGAATACTAAAAATCACAGCTCGTTACCATGTAAATGCTTACTATCCATATTTGGGGACTGCTAATAGGGGAAGGAGCCCATAACCTGAATAATTTTTCTTTTTAGACAGTTATTTTTGTAAAAGGCTTAGAGCTCTTGGGAGACCTCTATAGGCAAAAGGGTGCTCAAAAATAAAAACCTAGATGGTGTATACCTACTGTAGGTAAAGCGGATGACAAATCGGTTTCTGGATCAATTTTCAACTTTATGTTCTAAAAATTCAACCTTTTTGTCATATAAAGGCGTTTTTCTTTTAATACAAAGACTTTACCAATTGTGGCGCTACTTAGCGGTCCGATTCAAGCTATTTTCGATAGCGTTCGTCTCTGGGCCAAAATGTGTCAGGGCACATTCAAGCTGGTTGAACAAAAAAGCACGTGGTTGGAAAGACGTGCAGACGTGCAGATGTACAGACATTTCGATACACGGAAGAATTTGAATCAATTCATAAAAAGTGAGATGAATTGATAATAAAAGCCGTGCAATTATGGCGATAAAATAATCAAATCGCGGAGTTAACTACATTTGCAAGTAACAGATTATTTATTAAACAATTCGTAGAATTTATTTAATCATCGGACGAAGCAACCGCGAATTTATATGTCATAGGAAAGTCAGTTTGTTAATGTCTCACAATTTGTATATATATAATCGGATAATCCGAAGCATGTTAAATAAAGTCTTGAAGTTCATATAAAAATAATGGATTTCTTTTTCCCCAAACTAATATAAAACTTATCTCGAAATTAATCGCGAAAGCTTTGAGAAAGAATCGTTAGTACTGGTTAACTAAAAAAAAAAAGAAATCAACACTGAGCAAGCAACGTGGAAATGAATTTCCTTTCAATCGTTTAAGGAAAATTAGAAGCACCTTGTCGAAACGTTCCTGTAAGTAGATCTAGTGCTCGCAATGTTGCTAGCAATTCATCAGCAAGTCATCATCTAAATAGTCAGTCAAAATGATCGAGTAAGGCAAAATATCAATGTACACAACGGTTAAATTCGATATTTTCGATCTTTCTCTACACAAAATAACCGTTTTCCACTTAGTACTATTGCATTAGCTAGCGTGTGCAGCCGCTAATTATCGATTACATTTTCGACATTTATTGCATTTGTTGTTTAATTTGATCGAATTTGCTGCCCAAGCCCATCGCACACATATCCAGGGCCATACGTTGCAAAAATTTGTCAAAGTTACATTCTTGTCGCTCGAATGACAAGTTCTGCCGGATTTATACGCACAAACCCCGATATAGGGCATCACTTGATCGGCACACGGTGTCGAAATGCTGATGAAGTGCGCTGGCTGCCAAATCAATATCGTTCGTTCGACACGGTATCGCCATCGCGTTTAGAAAGTTGATAGATAACAAGTTGTAGAAAACAATGGAAAATATTTTTATATTGTTATTTATATATATATATACATATATATATATATATATTGTACCAATTGTCTTCGATAATCGCCTTTTTCAAGTAAAGAAATGATTAAATTAAAATACATGCAAGCACTTAATATTTCAAAATAATAGCAGTGTAAAGAAGAAAAAAAATAATTTTAACGGAATGTAGGTCAATCTACTTTTTGTACCATATATTAGAAATCGTAATTAAATGAAGAAATAAAAGAAATATCCGAGGTAAGGGATGCTTCCGTTCACTCTCTTTTCGCACTTTTATGAAATAAGTGAATATTTCCATGCACGATATAAGACATAAGTCTTTCAAATGTTGTCAAGAAAAATTGGCGAATTTTGCCAAATTTGAAAATGTTTTCACTTCTTTCAACTCACGTAATTGAATCACGTACATAAAGCAGTCCTAAAAAATGTTTCGAACGTCAACAACAAGTTTTTAAATAAACAATTATAATGAATACTGTACAGTGCAGTACATTGTCATACTACAATGGTTTCATTTGCTATTTTGATTGTACTTTTCAAGCGCGTTATGTAACTCTAACTGTGGTGTATGAACACATTTGTTAAATACAAAAAAATAAATAAAAACAATTTCTATATAATCATAATACTATTCATGCCATTAACTGTGAAATCCGCCAACTAACGTCTGCGCTGTGGTTTAAGTTTTATATGGTCTTGCAGCTGACCGAGTATCGCTGAGCCTGATGAATTGCGTGCATACACATTGCACTATTGCCATAATTTTTTATTTATTTCTCCGTTGTTGTTGGTGATTGCACTACACTTTTTTTTTTATTCTCCTCAATTTAATTGACTCTTTGGTAACATTCACGATATCGAAAATGATTTATATGCTCCTACTTAATATTGGAGTCTAAATCGGTTTTCTACTAATCTGCATTCATTCCGGTCATCGAGCGGCTCTAAAGGCCTTCAAAGGTCACACATTAAGCTCTAAGAATGAAGGGCACCTATCTTGGGTACCCGGACATTCAGCCATCCAAGGCAATGAAACGGCTGACTGTCTGGTCAACAGGGGAGCCCACAGGACCGAACCTAGAAGATGGCAGAATCGATAAGGAAACTAAAAATGATAGGCTAGTGGCACGGGCGCATGCTTTGGGTGCCTTTAGGCCGCAAAATACGAATTGTTCACCACATTGTTATTACAATTCTCTGCTTATACGTGTCCATAATTGCGGCAAAGAATTGAAATTTTTAAGCAATCCGCGGACAAAAATGATCACATCAGTTATTATTAGACTAACACAATATCGAGCAATTGATCAGTAATTTATTATTAATTTTAAATTTATTACCAAAAATTCGTAGAGAAAGCGGTCATGATTCGTTGATTGACACAAACATAATAGAATGGTTTGGCATGCAGAGTGTCTAAGATTCGCTATAAATCATAATAAATATTTTTGACTTATTATTGTTGGTTTTATGAGGTCTACCTAGTTTTGGTTTAGTTGATTTTCAACGTTTTTCTGAGGTAACACATATTGGTTGCTTTTAATGTGAAGCTTCATAATCTTAGTAATTAACAGTAATCTACGTAAGCTACATATGAAAGCAACTAATTCCGCCTCCTTCTGATAAACATCTTTTCAATTTTTCGTTAAAGAAAGACAAATGCGGAAATACATCTGTCACTCTTTCATAATTTTATGTTAAGGAAATACTTCATAGCGAATTATGTATAAAAATGAAGAAAAGAAATTTTAACTCGAAAATCAACTATGAAGAAAAATGTGTTTTCTTATTTTGCATTTCGTCACAAATTGAAATCTTATCTGGCGATAATATTGAATTCATTTGATCCCAATAATCGCTTGACTGTCTTATAGAAAGAAACCCGAAGATAAATCAAACGAAAATGTATCAATCACATGCCAATCTGCTTCTATTTACAAAAAAATTAGTGGATCTTGTACGTAATTATAATAGCTTTTCTATAGCCTTCCCTTGTGTTCATCCAAATCTATCTGTAAAGCTACATGTTGCTGCTTCTCTGATAACTAATGCAATTAGCAGAAATGCCCTAAAAGTTATACAGGTCCACAGAGAGGGAGTGAGAGAAAGAGTGAGAGAGTGAGAGAGCGAGAGAGAGAGAGAGAGAGAGAGAGAGAGGAAGAGAAGAGCAAATAATAAGCAACGAATTACAAGCAGAGATTACTTAAAACCAGTTAGATATGACGGCCAGGGGATGATATTTAATACACGCTTTTAATGCACGTAGTTGCAATGAAAAGTGATACCCAACTTATGCGTTTGATATAAAAGATTTGTGTTTGTGGCATCGAAAAATCTAGAGCCGAAAAAAAACCAAACCATTCACATCCAGCTAGATTCATTAAAGCATCTCGAGCGTAAACACCACAGACTTGTTAAGTAAAATTGTAAAATATTTTGCGCCCGTCTACCCCTCAGCGAAGGATAAGGAGAATATTCAGTTTGCGAAAATGTTTGCAACGCCTAAAAGAAAGCTTCAAAGACCCTACACAGTACATCTTCTGAATCCATTTTACCATGTCCGTCTGTCCGTCCAAGTGTTGTCTATTGTAAACATTCTTCTGGCCGCAAAAATGAAGCTATCGACTTCAAATGTGGTATTAAAAATACGTCACATCGACCGAAGCACATGCCTACAGCACCGCATAAACTCAGAACATCTCTGTTTTCCAAAGGGAATAAAAAATTGGTGTTTTGTTCATTTCTCATAAACTATAGCAGATACATGTACACAAGTTTTAACGCATTTTCTATGGGTGATGCTGCAATAGCTTTGCAAAAATGAAAAAATTGACCACGCCCACCCAATATAATAGTGTATCAAAATTTAATTTTTTTTTCAATACTTGCATAACGCGCAGAAACAAGCTTCAAAAACCCCATAAAGTTTATAAACTCTGGGTAAGTTTCAAGTTTCGAATGCACGTAAGCATGTCCGTCTTTCCGTGTGTCCATCTGTCCGTTTGCCCAACCTGGACATACTCCCGTTAGCGGAAACCGAGATATCCGCCTACAAATTTGCAAAAAAATTTGGAATTGACCTAAACTTTTCAAAAACTTTTCTTTTGAAAATAAAAAGAAAATCTTCGTCGCCCACTCCATCGTGTACAGCTATAGCTGATTTCAGGTTGTCCATAGGATTAGCTGTTCGCTTGCTGGAAAGTTTAATCAGTTAAAAAGAACGTATTGGAAGAATTTGTCCGCAATTTCAGATAGAAGAAGAAGAATTCTTTAAGATCCATTGAATCCGCCGGAGTGGCCGAAAACACAAGAGTCTCGACTAGCAACTCTAGTGGCCGTGGATTCAAATGTCAAGTGCGGTAGAGTTTTTAATAAAAGCCTTAGATGCTAGTGCGTTAAGATTTCTACTCTCAGAATTCATCTCTGGCTAAATTTTTAATAACTTGGCAGCGTTTCAATTTACTGTCGCCTGCTGTAATGGTCTTCCTTAAGTTGTCGATGGTGCACCAGATCGAAATCGATGAATTCCAGAGATGGGTTCAAAAGTTTTGAGTTCATGCCTATGGGTATGGCTTAGAGCTTGAAGGATAACCCTGGCTTCGATTGCGAAAGTTGAAGCACTTCCGTGAAGCATATGATTAAGCGAGATTTGTTCTGAAGCATCTACGACAGCATACGCAGGTGAAAAACCGTTGGATTTAGAGCCGTCTGTATATAAGAGATGTCAACCGCCACTTCCCAGTATTTGGGGTTTCTTTTTTCCTGAAGATTCTCGACGAGTGTCCCTCCTTTTTGTACATGGGGAGTGAAACAAAAAAACTTTTCTAAATCTATGGCCGTTTAAGAACAAAATTACAGGAAATATGTATAATATAATATATAATATAACATGTATATATATATATATCATCAAGCAAGGAACATAGCGACGAGAATTTTTGCAATAACTTGCCATCAAGATGTGATAAGGGTTTAGGGTTGAAAGACGAAAAACTACAATATCCCGTAAGCCGTCTTTTTGATTTAGTTTCGAAGCGAGGTATAAGAAAGATTTGTTGCAAACTTGACACATACATATTTATATAAGTTTGTAAATACCAGCCGGAAGAAGAGGTTTGTTTTCGCCATCCTGACAATTACGTAGGTGTCTATGACTGCTGTATATGCATTAGCTGTATATGCATTAGTTGTAAAGGAACTACGACAATAAATAAAATGAAAATAATAATTGCTTCATGTCTTCATTGCTTTAACGCTTAGTAGTAAAAGTAAATGCGACGATTTTGTAATAAAATATAAACGACTGCCAATGTCTGCTGTAATCGTGCGAAAAGGTGGCATAAAAGCCAATCAATTCGTGTAATAATAACAAGACATGAATTTTGAATAGTTTTACTTAACTGTAGGATAGGTCCGTTATATATATTTGGTTTTGACAAAAACCAAAATAAATAAATAAATAAATAAATGAGTAAATAAAAAACAATCCAAACACGACAATTAAACCCATATAATATATATATATATATATATAAAGCAAATACACTTTCACTTCTTGAAAGCAAAAGCTGCCAAACTGCTTCCTAGACTTCTATTAATCGACATCAAAACTTCCTCAAATTATGAAATGATTTATTTGTTGAAGAGAAACAACAAAAACTTGGTCAATTATTTAAAAAAGAAAAACAAAAAAAAAAAAAAAAATCTATCAACAAGAGCAAATAAGTATCAAAGTAAGTGAACCGCTTTTTCTTTTCTTTTCTTTTCGTTTCTTTTTTATTTTTGGAATTTTACGTAATCGTCGCTATGCTTATGGTGCTTAAGTGCTACTATGTACCGCTCTCTTGATAGCTGGTTTTATGTTTATTTAGTTACGACTCTTGAGCGAGACGTTTAGGCCAACCTTGTCTGCATTTCAAAGTTTCTTTTCAATTCAGTTACAAAAATAAGCTGAAAATAAACGGGTGTCGAAATAGATACCAAGAAGTGTTGTGCGACAAGCAAAAGCAGTGTGGAAGAAAGGAGAGACCAAAAAAAAAAAAAAAAAAAAAAAAAAAAAAAAAAAAAACAAGGAAAATTAAACAACAAAAATAACATTCCATCCATTTTCTTTATTACGTAATAATATGAAATTGAGACAAATAATTTCTTTATGTTCATTACCTACGATATACGTTATTTACATTCTTCTGCTTGAGTATGTGGATAAAGGTTTAGCACAAAATCCTGATCCCTTATTCGAGTTACCCGTGCAATTAATCGGCTTCCCGGTTATTGTCCTATCGGTTCGTCTATCGCAATTTGCCAAAAAGCTCGCGTTTTCATTGAGTCCAAGTAAGCTGCGTTTTTTTTTATTTGGTTATTAAAAAATTTAAAAAAAAAAAAAAAAAAAAACAGAAAACTCGAAACAGAATCCAAAAAACGAGCATCTGATGAGAATTTTCGATTCATTTTTGATTTGATTTTTGATTACGTTTATCCTCTCATCTAAAATGTAAAGATTGTTATTTACACAATCATACATATATAGTTTTAATTTTTTTTCTTCCATTTGTCTATTTTGTAACTCTTTCGAAAAACCGATTTTTTTTTTTTTTGTTTTTTTTTGGTTTTTGTTTTTTTCTCAAATGCTTGTAACATATTCTGCTGTACTTTATTTTTCACACTCTCTTCTCAAACTGCTTCTATGACCTAAAATTTGAATCAAGCTGCTCTCTTGTTTATGTCATTTATTTTTCAAGTTAATAAAAAGCATAACGAATATATTTAACATTCGTATGTAGACTTAGACTTTACTCTCCTTATCGTAGTCAGCCAATTAATGTTATTTATGTTATTTTGATTCAATATCGCACTGAGTCATGTTCTTGGAGGGTGGGTGAGTGAAGTAAAAATCGTAAAATTGATTTAGGATGACTCACAGCTTAGCATCATTTAACATCAGATGAGGATAAATTTAAGTTTCGTAATAAAGTTTTTCGATTTTGTACTCTTGACATTATAATCATGACCTACATATACATGTATATCCTAAGTAATTGTAACAAAAATAATTCTTAGGAAATGTGCTATTCCTTGTTCAGTGAACAAAGAGCCGTCATTAACAATATGGTATGAAGAGGTTGTTATCAAGATTTCTTCTTAGGCACGTATGCGAGCCGGTTTTTTTTTTCTTTTATTTATTTTTTTTTTTGATTATGTCTATGCCGGTAAACGCATAGCTGCAGCTGTTGTTGATAATGCAAAATTGCTACGAAATTCACTATATGTTATGAGCACAACAAATTGGGTCAAGGCGAGCTTGAATGTGAAAGTTAGTTAGGGATAAATTCATTTAAAAATTACATTGCATTGAGAGCGAATGCAACGACATTGAATTTAAAGCGAAACTAGGAAAAAAAATAAATAAATAAAAATAAAATAATTCTCGCATATATTTTAAGCTTTATATGATTTTTTATAGGCACCTATCGTTCGCGTAATAAACGAGATACCGCCATGTTGGCCTATAACGCTGATATAGCGCAAAAGGAAATTTTACGTGAATTTGGGCCTAGGGCTTGTGTCTTGGTGGAACCTTGTCGGGTACATGCCTCTCGTCCGGGCCATTACAGTAACACCCGACCCAATTGGCCACAAGTGTTCAGGTAAGACATCATCATCATCATCATCATCATCATCATCATCATCATTATCATCCATCTCTTTCTGCTTTCCTTTCATGCAATAAATCTTTTAATATAAAACTTGCACTTAACTTCATGGCTCATTGGTATTGCACTTGTAAGTAAATAGCGATAACAATGGCATAATGATCTTCACTTAAAGTGCTTTGTCATGTCCTTGGCTTTGTTGATTTCGCCCTGAGTTGTCATTATATTGTTAATGTTTCCGTTTCTGTGAGCATGTAATGTATTTTCTTTTTACATTTTTTCCTTTTTTGTTTTTTTTTTTTTTGTTTTGTTTTGGTTCTTTTGCCCTTGAAATCTTTTCCAATCAACTTTTATATGAAAAATGCCAACTCATTTGTATATAATTTAATGTCTTTACTTGTTCAATTGGTTTTCCAACTGCAACATGCGCAACTTGTTAAAAATGTTTATTTGTCTTCTTTGTTTTTTTGTTTTTTTCTTGATTTTGTCTTTGCTCGTAACAAAAGTTCGATGATTTAACAACTTTTTGTAAGGTCTTGTTCTCCGTTAAATTTGTTGGAAGAAAGAATGCAGTGATTCCGTAAATTGTTTTTTTTTTTTTTTTTCCTACGAATTTTTATTAATGAAGATATTAAGAAAAGCGTTTTTTTAAAAAAAAAAAAAAAAAAAAAAAAATTTAAATTAAAAAAAACTTATGGCAGAAGGTTGCCATTGCATTAAATTGGTAAGCGCTTGAAATGGAAAATGTACAAATGCAAGTGGGGCATCGCCAGGACTTGCATATGCTTCATAAGATTTTTAAAGCCTTCCCCTAGTCGCCTTAATGACAATTTGGTGGAATTTTCAAACGTTTCCCTCTATTTGTCTTGCTTTGAAATTTCCCCCGAGGCAAGACGCGAATATGTTCAAATTAACCTAAAAAACTTATGCGTAGATAGAACTACACGATTACAGTAAGTTGCGTGAATGACTGATGGGCTCCTGGTATGATAATGAGACAGTTACTTACTGCTGTAGGTCTGCGCAGCTTGACAAACACGCATTGAAGTATTTTCTAGATAAATTTTTTGTTTTGAGATAGCACTTGATCAATGTGAATGTAAAAATATATGTATGCCTCGTTGTCTATGAAAAGCTTGAGGTAGATTGAAGAGAGTGGCAGCTAAATGTGTAGCTCAAAATGGTTTAACTCTCTCAAAAGATGATAATCATTTTTTTTTGCACTTGTACGGTATTTGTTTTTAATTTATTTATTTCATTTCGTACCGTATAAATCTAAATAATTATTATTAATAGCTTTTATATTCACTTTATATCACACTTCTTATGCCGGCACTCATCTATTTGTATAAATTGCATTACGATTTACGTATAGCGCCGTTAAAGTTTTCACTACACTATAGGATGATGATGCAACAATTGCTGCACACTTGGCAATTAAACGTTAATAAGATTTCAGGTATGGATGGATTGACGTTCATTAACTGATTGACTATTATTGCAAATGCATGTGATCCGGTTCATTTCAATCTGTCTGGGCACGCAAACGAGCAATCGCATCTGGATCGTATCGGAGCTTCGAAGCACCAAAAGAAATTGGTCGAACACTCTCTCCAAATCTAACGTATGACAGTTTGGCGTGGTTTCGATATCGAGATAGCGTGGTTTCGTACTTTTCCAAAAAAAAAATGTTAAAGTGAATCCTTTTCATCGGAATGACCCCCATTGCTACGTAGCCCATAAAACGCTGACAATACGAAGAAGGGCGCGAGGATATCTCTGTTGATTTGAAATGATTTTTCTCTTGGTACGCGACCAGATAGTTTATGCAATTTACAGCATATTCTTACTTAGCAAATACATCAGTAAACTGGCATAACGACCCAGTTCACCTTAGTGCAAAACTACATAAAAATCAATGCGCGTAGTTTTCATTGATATTTGTCTACTGAGTTTAGCGTTCGCTTATTTATTCCTCACGCAGTAATATCTGTACTATATATATATATATGTATATAAGTCCACGCTTGGAAAGGAGCTTATGGGTATGAATTTATTAGTTAGAAAGAAGAGGAAAAAAAAAAAAAAACGATATCATAAAAATTTGATAATTAACTTTAATTTTCATCTCTCTCTCTCTCTCTCTCTCTCTCTCTCTGTGTGTGTGTGTGTGTCTGTTCGAGTTTCTTTACTATTTCTTGCGATTTCCTTTCGCTCGTAACTCCATATACGGCAACCATAAGTGTGATTTTCTTACGCACTCATTTGCACATTGAAATTGAGCTATCCGTTCTCGTCTCGCGTTATCGTAACCGTTTGGCACCGCAGACAGATAGAGAGCGGAACTTTTTTACGACTCCTTTTTTGCATTTACGGAATTTCAGTTGAATAAAACTCTGTTTGTTGTTTTTTTATTTCTCATAATTTTATGAGTTTTGCACAATTTACATAAATTAAAGCTGCTCTTAAGAGGGAAAAATCAATAAAAGTTAGCTATCGTTATGCATATATAGCTTAACAATGCAAACGATTGAACAAATGTACGCGCAAAATGTTACTGACCTCATATAACATATAACACATAACATCGAACATATAATATTAAATTAGGAAAATTCGTATGGGAAATAATGTAAAATTTAATTTCACTTTATTGAGAACTTTTAATGCACAAACACACACACACACACACACACACACACACACACACACACACACACA